CAAAGGTAGCAGCGTTGAGTCGACGAGGGGCGTTTGGATTCTTCCGGTGGAAGTTGGCTATGAGGGCCGGCGCATTGGCAACGTTGCGCGCCGGTTCCCATGACGTGTGCGAATCGTCATAACCCTTCCACTTGACGAGGTACTGCAGCTGACGCCGGAAGATCCTCGAGTCCTTGATCCGTTCAACCTCGTACTCCTCGTCGCCCTCAACCTCAATTGCAGGCGGCTCCTCCGGCTCCCGGCCCGGGATATCGCTACGCGTGTACTTGCTAAGCAAGGAGACATGGAATACCGGGTGCACCGGCACCGACTTTGGCAGGACTAATTCGTAATCCAAGTCTCCGAGCTTTCGCCGCACGGCATATGGTCCGAGGCGCTTGGGACTGAGCTTTTTGCTCGGCTGTTTCAGCTTAAGGTTCCGAGCGTCTAGCCAGACCTTGTCCCCCGGCGCGAAAACCAGTGCCTCTTGCACGTGCTTGTCGTAGTACACCTTCATGCGCTCGGCCGACAGCTCGAGCGCAGAGCGCGTATCGTCGCGAATCTCCTTCAGGATCTTGAGCCGATCAGCGGCCGCAGGCATCGCAGACATCGGATTGATCCGCACTTGGATCTCAGGATTGTACCCTTGATGCAGGAAGAAAGGGGAGTGCCCGGTCGCGGAGTGAACTCGGTTGTTCATTGCGAATTCCGCGAGCGGCAATTGCTTTGCCCAATCATCCTGCCTGTGGCTTGTGAAAGCACGCAGGTACTGCTCAATCTCCTGATTCCAGCGCTCAGTCTGGCCGTCCGTCTGAGGGTGGAACGCTGTAGACAGCGCCGGTTCGATCCCCAGTCCTTTGTACACCGCATGGAGATATTTCGAAGCGAACTGGGGACCTCGGTCTGATATGACTTTGGCCGGGGCCCCATGATGCTTGAACACATCGCGGATGTACAGGTCTGCCGCACCTTCTGCCGTCAGGGTCTCATGACAGGCCGAGAAGTGGACCTGCTTTGTGAAGCGGTCGGCGGTAACCAGGATCGAGTCAAACCCATCGGACTTCGGCAGGCCGACGATCATATCGGTCGTGATGATCTGCCATGGGCGCTCGGGGATCTCATTCGGCTTCAGCGGACCCTGGGGCTTGGCTGGGAATGTCTTGGTACGGTTGCACACGTCGCAGGTGCTTACGTACTCATTGACAAACTTGGACATTCCCGGCCACCAGTAGTTCCGCGATACGAGCTCAAGGGTTTTGGCACGACCACCATGACCGGCGATCGGCGAGTCGTGGTGGATCTTGACTATATCCCGCCGGAGCTCTGCGTTCTTTGGGACGTACACACACCCGCGGAACAGCAGAAGCCCTTGTTCGGCATTCCACTCCTCAAAACCCCTTCGCAGCCGGGGCGGCCCGAGGTCCTGCACCTTTTCAAGTGCCTCGGCCACCTCCCGATCCTTCTCCGAACATTCCCTGATGCGCTTCAGAAGCGACTGATCGGCCGTCACCGAGGCATGACCGCGCCGGGCGGAGGCGATGCGGAAGCGCTCTGGCTTGAGAACCACCTGATCGGTGTTATCGTCCTCATCACCGATCTGATGGTCTGATCGACGCGACAGGGCATCAGCCTTTCCATTGGACGTCCCGGCCTTGTGCGTGATGCGGAAGTCAAAGCGAGCCAGGAACAGCGACCATCGCGCTTGACGGCGCGTGAGATGCTGGGATGTACGCCAGTACTCGAGGTTCTTATGATCGGTCACGATCTCGAACTGATTGGGTAACCCCTCGAGGTAGTGGCGCCAATCGTCTAGCGCCTCAATGATCGCGAGCATCTCCTTATCGTAGATCTCGTAGTTCCGCTGCGCCGGATCCATCGCATGTGATCTGAAGGCGATGGGATGCCATTTGCCGTCATCCTGCTTCTGCATCAACACGCCGCCGGTGGCGTACCCCGAGGCATCGACTTCAATGCGCGTTTCCCGATTAGGGTCGTACAGCGCTAAGACTGGAGTCGTCGCGAAGAGCCGCTTGAGCTCATCGAAGGCGTACTGCTCTTCCTCGCCCCAATGCCATGGGTCGTTCCCTGTGAGTCGGTCGAGTGGTCGCGAGATCTTAGCGAAGTCCTTAATGAAGCGGCGGTAGAAATTGGAGAACCCCCGGAACTTCTGGACATCTTTCTTGTTCCGGGGTACCGGCCACTCATTGATTCCTTTTAGTTTCGCAGGATCCATCGCCACCTCATCGCCACCGAACACATAGCCGACGTAGTCGACCTTGGGAACGTCCCATTCGCACTTCTCAGGCTTCAGGAACAAATCATTGTCCTGAAGGCGGCGCAGAACCTCGCGTGTGACTTTCTCATGCTCCTCCTTATTGGTGGAGAAGATGAGTATATCGTCTAGGTACACGAGGATTTTGCCGCCGACGATGAGATCATGGAAGATCTCATTCATCATCGCCTGGAAGGTCGCGGGGGAGTTGGTGAGACCGAAGAACATCACCAAGGGCTCGTACAACCCTCGGTTAGTTACAAAGGCCGCCTTCCACTCGTCACCGGCTTTGATCCGGACGTTGTTATATCCCCATCGGACATCGAACTTCGTAAAGAGCATAGCACCACGGAGCTTGTCCACCATTTCGGCGATCAACGGCAAGGGATAACGATTTTTGACCGTGATTGCGTTCAATCGGCGGTAGTCCTGCATGGGTCGAAGCGTCCCTTCCTTCTTTTTGATGAAGAAGAAGGGGGATGAAATGGGCGACTTCGACTCCCGTATGTAGCCCTTCGCTAGTTGCTCTTTTAGGAACTTGTCTAGTTCCTCCTGCTCGTTGTTCGACAAGGGGTACACCTTAGAGTGGAAGGTCGAGTAGCCGGGCACGAGTTCGATCGCGTGATCGTACGGCTTCCTTTCGGGTAGCCGTTCTGATGCTTCCTTAGAGAAGACATTCAGGAACTCGTGGTACTGTTTAGGTACCGACTCCTCGGCGGTCTTAACGACCTTCTTTTTGATCTCCTCCTCAGCAAACAGCTGGGAGTACGTATGTCCTGCTGCGACGAACAGCTGAGGAGCGCCGGGAAGTGTGACACCTTGCTCCCAGGCTTCGATCAAATCGGCCTCATCCCACTCTACCTCCACCGGATCTTCTTCGGGTTCGAAGTCCGGGAGTACCTGACTTCGGCAGGCACCTATCACCGACCGTTTGGACTTTGGCGAACGCCTGCACGCCGTGGGCCGGTCCCCCGTATCACGCGCAGTCGCTGCTTGCTCCATTCGGCTAGTCTTCCTGGCACTGCACGTCTCAGGGCATCGTGATAACTTTAGAGAGCCTGACTCCCAGTCAATTTCAGGGTTGTGCTCTCGTAGCCAATCCAACCCGACGATCACATCCTCTGGACCTATGTCCGTGACCGTAAACACCGTCTTCTCGACGTGTTCTCCTATCTGCATCTGTAGTACGGCTACCTCCGAGATGCTTCCGTCTTTATTGAGCGTTCCATCGATATTGTAAAGCGGGATTGGCTCTTTCAATTTCCGCGTTCGTACTCGATTCTCTGTGATGAAACGCTTGTTGATGAACTTCGTGGTGGCTCCGCTGTCCACCATTGCAACTATATCCTTGTGCCGTCTTTCTCCTTTGAGGCGCACCGGGATGTGGAAGTGCTGGGACCCGTGGTCCAACTCGTAAACATTCGCGGTCGCCAATACATTGTACAAATTGTTATTACGAGGTCCGACGCGTGCGGCACGAAGCGCGGACCGGATCAAAAAGATTCTTCTTTGAGCGCTCGATAGTGCTCCAACTCCTCGCGCATCGACTTCATCTGTGCTATTAAGTCCGCCAGCTCGGAACTTTCCAATTTTGCTGAAGCGGTGCTTATACTCGCTGAGGATGAAGTGACGGGGGCGCTTGTCGCCGCCTGGGTGGAACCCGAGGCAACCGTAGCCCGCGCGTCGGCGCGTTTTGTGTAAGGTTTATCCTTACAGTTAGGGCACTCGAAACGACGGTACCCTTGCTTCCCGCAGCCGAAGCACGTGCCAGGGAAGTCTCCTTTTCCGACGGCCGCATTGATGCTGGCCGAAGCTGCATGTGACGAGGGTGCACCACCACGTGCCCCGCCGCGACCTCGACCTCGGGCCGAGAAGAAGTTGTTCAACTCGGGCCGACGGGCCCGGCTGATGTCGAGGATCTGCTCGACCTCAGTGGCTCGCTTTTCAGCGGCTCGCCACGTGGTGAAGGTCTCGAGCTCGATCTTTCGATAGACGCAGGAGGGGATGCCGCTCAGGTACTTGTCGCGTAGCTCCAGGTCCCCATACCCAGAACGGTCCGCCGGACCCTTGAACAGCGCGGAGAACTCCGCGGCGGTGCGTTTTTCGCGGACCGACTTGTCCGCGCAGAGCTTCGCCAGCTCCACTTGTGCTGCTGCCGCGTCGTCGAGATTACCGAAGCGAGCCTTGAAGGCAGCGGTGAAGGCTGCTTCGTTCCTGAAGGGGGTTGTAACCCCTTGTACACCCAGCTGCACCGACGCGAGTTGGGCGAAGTAGGGCGTGGCCCAGGCACGGGCGTCGCCATCGAGCAGGCTCAGCGCAACCTGTACCTTGAGCTCAATAGTTGTCAACGACGTGTTGATCAGCCAATAGATACGTAGTTGCGACAGGAACCTGTCGCATTCGATGACGGTTTTGCCGTCATAGCGGAGGGGGAGGAGGAGCTTCAGGGTCTCCTTGTCAGGTGCAGCGGCGGGGGAAGACATTATCGGCGTCGGGGGGGACGGAGGACGCTGCGGGGGCGGAGGCGGCTGTGGTGGCCCTCCGCTGGTCGAACTTCGAGAGGAGCGAGTGCTCGAGCGGCCTCTCGGCGGAGTCGGCGGTGAAGGCGCCGAAGGAAGTTCGGCGGGGGTGTCACGTACGTCAGGGACTGCTGACGCGGGGGCGAGCGCTGTCGGCGAGGCGGACCCAACAGAATCCTCGGACTCGGACTCCGAGATTCCTTCTTCACCCTCACCCTCCTCAGGCTCTGGCTCTGGCGCAGGGTCTGGAGGGAGATCTCCTCGTGCTTGACCTGGATTGGTGATGACAGTTTGAGGGAGGCGGGAGCTAGGGGAGACAGGGCGAGAGTGCCGCGAGGCAGATCGAGATGCAAGGGTGCTTCGGGGTCCGAGCGGGTGTTGCGCTCGTCGGATCGCTTTGTAGCGCGGATAGTCTTCTGGGATCGATCGGGGGGTTCGGTTCGGGCACGGTTGCTGCTCGCAACGGTAGATGATAGTCTCAGGACCGTCTGGGATGTAGACGTCGATAAGGTCCTGAGAGTCGAATGCGTGAACTTGGCCTTGACAGGCAGCCACGTTGGATGGGGGGGAGGACGGGAAGGTGCGCGTACTACAAAAGGCCGTGTTACTCTAGCTTACACCTACGGCGCCCGAGATGACACTGAGATTCGCAGTTCACGTAGGGCCCAATACTGCTTTTGACTATTATGCAGCAGGAACCAAGGCTACGCGTCCGTGAGGACAAGTACCGCTCACTGAAGCGCAGGTACTGAAGAGTTCGTTTCTCTAGTGTTGGCGATGTATAGTAGGCTATCTACGTATCGTAGTGTACCGTATGGGTGCGCACCACCCGACCTATGGGAAAGGAAAAGTGAGTGTGGGGTTCCGAGAGAACGCCGGTTGCTTGGG